GACCTCTGGGGCAACTTTAATGGTGGAAACTTTAGGCCCAGAGTTGAGAGAGGAGGGTGGGCCAGCCCCATCATGAAGAGCTGGTGGGGGAAGAGTTTAGGGCAGGCGGGGTCTTTCTGTCCCATTCCCTCCTCCTTCCCCAGTCATTACCCATAGAAGGCAGTCCCCTCTGCCTCTGGGTAGAGCAGATCCTGTCTCTTGGTTTCCCTTTGGTCCAGCATCCAACACTAAAATGGATAGAGAGAAAGCCTGTCCAGCCTATTCGTGAGCGCAAAGGTCGACTAAGGAGTGTGCTTTTGGATGAAGACAAGGATAAGTGAGTATTGACTCAGGCCTCTCACATTCTCCTCACCCCCAACTCATCCTATTATGCTTCCCTTCCCTCTACATGGCTACACAAAGACATTGTCTGGAGAAGCTCATTTCCTGATGGGGAACCCCACCTCCCCTATCCCACAAGGAATTCCACAGTGATTATGGTTTTCTGGATGGTTCTCATTACAGGAATGGTGTGGAAATGGTATAAGTATCCCCCAGAAGCGGTAAGTACAGTGATTTTTCTGATCTGATGAAGTAGAGAAAGAAAAACACATTATGACATATCAGTTTGGTGGGGAAACCATGGACAAAGCATTCCCTATACCTTTAGACCCTATGCTATCTACCTCCCATTGGCCCAAAGTTGTCCCAGGGTTTCTTCCCATCCCACCCTGATGTCTTTCACAATTGCTACTCCAGGCTGGTTCCCAGTGGTACAGAAAGTGGTGGGTTTCTGGGTTTTAACAATTCACCAGATTACATAGCTCACTCTTCTCCTCAATCAGGATGGCATCCTTCAAAGAGCAGTAGATGATTTTGACCTTCTTGCCCAAAGATCTTGTCATCCCCCTATACTTTAATTATACAAAGAGTGATGGGAAGGTAGAGTAACCTCTAAGAAATCAGATATGCATGGGGGCAGGAGAATGAACTATGGGCATCAGGCACCTGCCTGGTTGTCACTTTATCCTCATTTTACAGCTAGAGAACAGTTCTCCACCCTGCCCCTTCCACCCTGGGCTGTTACTTTGCATGATGAGATTGGAACTCCTAAAATGTGTATTCTCAGAAATGCCAGATTTTTATTCCCCTTTTGGCCGAGCCTCATAGAAGTAGGTAGAATTACTTCTCATAGGCCTCCAATTTATCTTAGTTTCTTCCACTGGATATTTTGAGGGTGACTGTTTTTGGCCCATTTAAATCACTCATACAAAAATCTTAGATATCTAATTTCATACAGATGGTAAAAAATGTTGGCAGGTGAATGGGTTGGGGGTACTTTGGCTATGTCCTGAACATGTACATAGTTTCTTTAATGGAGCTGATCTGTGGGAAAGCAGACCCTTCTCCAGCCATGCTAGGATAACTTAGCCAGAGGTCATTTGCCCAGGAACTAGCCCATCCTGAGTCCCAACACCAGTCTTCTGTCCTGACCCTTTGTCATTAGTCTGGTATCCCTGAGTAGGATGATGAAGTCACAGTCTTTGTGCCACATGTTAGATGTCACAATTGGTGGCCCAGTTATGCTCCTAGTGATGCCCAAGGGACCACTTCAGTTCAGGTGAGACCACAGGCCTGCCTGGTCAGGGATTAAAATTACCATGCCAAGCTTCCCACCCTTCCCTCTGTGATGAAGACTTCTCAGCTCCAGCGATCCGGGGAATCACACATCTGACCTTCCACAAACCACTCATCGTTACTGCACCACCCTTACACTGCAAGGAATTCCACAATGATTGTGGTTTTCTGGATGGTTCTTATTGCAGGAACGATATGGAAGGGATATAAGTATCCCCCAGGAGGGGTAAGTGCACATTTTATGTTATTCTTTGTCCCCCTATTCTGAAATATTAGTGGCTCCCAAAGTAAAGGGTTAAAATTTATCCCGATAAAGGAGAAAATCCCTTGCTAAGAGAATGACCCAAATGTGAACCTTGACCCAGAACTGAGGAGCACACTTCCTGAATTGTACTTTTGTCCTTGACCAGAGAGTATCTCTAAGTGTTGCTGTGGCCCTTTCTGTATAAGGCTAAAGACATTATAATTTGCCTTAGGGTCTGTGTCCAAACTCAAGCCCACCACCTCACCACCCAATTTCATACTCCCTTGTAAACCTGGTTGGGATTGACCTCACCCTGAAAGCCCACACCTTCCAACCCTTTTCTAAGGAATTTTGTTGTCCCTTCCTTCTTGGAGCTGGAGTGGAACTAGTGGGTTGGGGAAGGGAGATATAGATATGATGCCCTTTCCCTTTGGAGAGAACCAAACCTAAAGGGGGGCTTCCCTTCAGCCCAGCTTCAACACAGTACCCCCAAACCAGTTCTGACCTCACAACTTCCTGTTTCCAGACCCAGCTGGAACTAGGTAAAGAAGATCCTGGTGAACCAATGCAACTATGAAACTAAACCTGGCCCGCTGTACAGTTCCTGTTGTTGGTTTCGCATAAAGCAATTGCAAGTGATTTTGTCATATTTTATGTAAAAGTTACCGAACTTTTTAAGACGAATGAGGACTTGGTATTCTGTTAGCCTGCAACTGCTGGTGGTGGTGGTGTGGTGGTGTGGTGGTGTGGTGGTGGGGGTAAGGGTGGTGGATGGGGGATGTTGGTGGCTGGCAAAGTCCCTACACTGATTCTCTTTCCTCAGGGAACAAAATGGCGTTAGTTCTTCTAGGTTTTACAACCCTCTGTTCGTCCCCAGAAGCATTTGGTAGAGGGTGCTATGGGACAGGAATTGTGATCTGGTATTCTTCTAGCTTATCATCCCTCCTTTAAGATTAGATGACTACTCAAATAAATGTCTCTAGGTGTTGAACGATGGTAATTTCTGCCAAAACTTTTGTGAATGTGGCATGTGCTTCCCAGAAGAAAGTATTTGAGGTGCCATTTAAAACCCATGGCAAACACTTTTTCTTCTGGGGTTGGGGATGTTTATTTAGCAATCCTAGATATATGCAGAGGTTGAGGCACAATCAAAGTGTGAAGGAAAATGGAATGAATTCAGGACTTTTTCTTTTCTTTTTTTTTTTTTGGTAGACTTTTTTCTTCTTTTTATTTTGGAAGCAATGGGAGTTAAGTGATTTGCCCAGGGTCACACAGCTAGTAAGTGTCTGAGGCTGGATTTGAACTCAGGTCCTCCTGACTCCAAGGCCAGCGCTCTATCCACTGTGCCACCTAGCTGCCCCACAGGACCAACTTTTTCAGTGTGCTAGCTGGAAGTGTTTTCCTAAGACAATGGTAACAAGTGAGCCCAGGAGCAGAGCAGTATGATTTGCTTTTTCAGGGCTGGGTGCTGCTTAGCAAGGGGATAGACTCAATGCTTTTTTAAAAATCCATAGAATAACCTATTCTATAGTCACAAAGCTAGTCCCGAATCTTACTGACCAGACTCAAAGGCCCAAAATATTTATGTAACCAACTGGGCAACAATCCATTTGTTGTCCGAATGTGGTTATTAGGGTCCAAGATTATAAGGACACCCACAGAAATAGCAATTTCCTTTTGGTCTTCAGCACCACCCATCCATCTTAGGGCTAATAAGTTGTTTTGGGGGCATAAGACCAACTGCTGTTGCTCAAGTGTGTTCTGATACGTAAGTCAAGTTAGGACCGAGAAACTCTTTGACTAGGAATATAAGGTCCTTATGACAAGAAGGTATGGGGTCAGACTAGACACTGAAGACTGATATATGGAGGAGGACAAGGAGACCAGAAATTACAGGCCAATTCTACCCTGAACTCTTTGAAGGGAGAACAACACGTCCAGATTGAACCAGTATCATTTGACTTTCTAAAAAGTATACCACATAAAATAGACAAGAGTAAAAGCTAGTACAGAAGTATTAGTGTGGCACTTTTAAGATATACAAAGAGCCTTATGTATTAAACTCATTTGATCTTCACAACATTATATGAGGTAATAAGGTAGATGATATTATTTATCCCCATTTTACAGGTGAAGGAACTAACACAGAAAGATTAAGTGATTTGCCCAGGGTAACACAGCTAAGACAGGATTCAAACTCAGGTCAGTCTGATTCCTAAGTGTGTCATACGTGCCATCCACTATGACACCCAGCTGCCATCAGTATAAAGGTAGTTTGTGGGCTTGCAGACCCCCATAAAATAATACAAGTCAGATTCCACTATAATGAGTTCCTTAGTTTCATGAGCATGTTGTTGTGTTTTGACCAAACAGAAGTGGGGACTTGGAAAAATTTGTACTGAAATGTTATATTAAAATGTGGCCAATACTTAAACTTGACACATTTACAAACAACCTCACTGCACCCAATGAACATCATTCCCTCACCCCTTTCTTTTTAATACAAAAAAAAGCAGAGAAGGGAGAGGTGTTGGAAATGAAAGTGATCTGTGAAGAAAACTATATATATGGCAAAGTTCCAAGCATTCAAGGAATGTTCTCTTCTGCTGTCTGGGCAGTTTCCTCTACAAAATGAGGGTATTTGGACTAAGTGATCACTAAGGTCTGTTTTCAAGCTCATGACTCTAGAATTCACCTTTTAAAATAGACTTCATGCAACTCATGAGCACATACATACCTAGAGTTCTCACATTCTAAGGATGATCTGATTTTATTCCATGAGAACTCCTTTGCATTATTACATCCAGCTCCCATTCCTTCCTAATCCCATATCTCCCTCTATCATGGACCATTGACCCCCTCAACCCCATTGCTTTCCTAGCTCTGCCCCTTTTCTTCAGGTACACCTTCTCATTTTGATCAAGAAAACAAGTGTTATCTGGCTGCCAAGAAACAGCAGCAGCAGATCAGTGAGTCAAAGAGGGAAGAAATGTGAGGGCAGGAAAAAATTACACTTCTGTATTCACCCAGAATACATCAGACCTCTGGCACCTCTGGGGTTTCTACCTGGCAGAAATGTCTGGAATTAAGAGGTAGTCTATGGAAAACCTCAAGTTTTAGGTAAATAAAAGCAAACCAGTGAAAGTATAAATAAAATTTTTAATGCCTATAATTTCTCTTATACATCAATTGAAAAACTTTCACCTATATTTTCTGTATGTGCAAAAGTATTCTCGCACTTCAACGGCACCAGAAAGACAGCTATGTAAAAGGGTTTTTCTTTTTTTTTTTTTTTACACCTGATTTGTCACATTGTGTTCAAGACACAATGATTCTGAACAATAACCTCAAGGAAAATCTAGGGCTACCCTCAATTATACAAACATATTGCATCACGTCCACTCACCAAATGTTAGTCTTATACATTCAAACATCGATAATAAAACAACCAGTCTCTCT